AAAGACACCTGATTCTCTGATCATGGCCGGGGGGCAGGGCAAAGGCGGCCCCAGCTCCTCCCTGGGTTTCTTCCAATCACTGTCAGTAGCAGGGGGCTTCTTCCTGCTTTCCCTTTCACCTCCTGCATTGTGCCTACATATGCAAATTAACCGCCATCTTGTTGGCAGTTAACTGCCAATCTTAGTTGGCAGTTAATTTGCATATAGCCCTGATTAGCCAATGAAAAGGGTAGCGTCATGCGCCAATTACCATTTTTCTCTTTTATTAGTGTAGATGGTCATATTGGAATAGGACTCACCATAATGACCTCATTTTAATTTAATTACCTGAATGTTGACTCCCCATCTCCAAATACAGTCACATTTTGAGGTACTGGAGGTTGGGATTTCAACATGTAAATTTTGGGGTAAGTGACACAATCCAGCCCATAACAGGAGACTTCTGATATATGACTACTGTCTTCTGATTCCTAGAATACTCTCCGTTGCTGTTTCTCTCTTACTTCCTCTCCCAAACACACACATAGACTCCTAGATTTTTAGATCTGAAATCTTAGGCATTTCAGCTCCATGGAAATTCTAGGACCATAATATGAGCTGTAAAAGGTCTCAGAAATCATTTGGTTCAATTACTTTATTTTAAAGATAAGAATACTGAGATCCAGAAATGGGTAAAGATGTGCTTGGGTTCTAAGATGCCCTCCTTCTGGCCAGCAGAGAATAGCACATAATCAATATGGACTAATAAGAATTCCAAAAGAAAAAGATGGGGTAGAAGTGGCCCCATGAAGTCTCCTACTAATTTAATATATTCCCACCAGAAGGAATGGAGAAAATGAGAGCAGGGTTGATGGATTTCCCTGAGGGAAAGAAAAGCTCTATAGAATCACAGAATGTAGGTCTTAGAGATCTTCTCCTCTACCTTCCTTGATTTAAACAGTAGGGTTAGGGTCTTCACAGATAATAAAGCAAAAAGTCTCAAGATCATCCAAATTGTTGATTATAAGAGTTGAGAGAGATAAATGTACAACCAAGCAAATGATGACCCTTGGGAAAAGAAGATGACTAAACCAAGAACCAAGAAGCAAAGCATTTCATCAAGTAGCCTACTTTGATGATGCCATGGTATAAAGAAATCTCCTTTCTGCCTGGTCCTTCCATGCCTTCTACTTCAGGGCCATTCATAGTTCACTGAAAATCCAGGCTATATAATATATGAATATGCCCAAGGTTCAATCAAGGAGAAAACGGTCCAATCAGAAGCATAGCAAAGCCACAGATGGAAGCCAAGCCACTGCTGTGGTGGTTGCAAAGTGGATCCTGGGTTATTAGATCGATGAAAGCCAGCTAGTACCTGAAATCCATATGGCCAGCCACCTTATCCAGAAGATGCTGAGTACTCTTGCTAAGACATCATGCTCTAGAACCAGCCTCAGACACAGGCCTACTGTGACTACCATCTGAGAGTAGCCATCAAACACAGATGGCTCTTCAAGGGACCACAGTTGAGCAGAAGAATTAACAGTTAATGTCCTATGAAAAGGTTCCTTAAAGAATTGTCTGTTCCTTCTTTCATTGATGAGTGAATAAATGTCAACTATAAATCAAGACTTTGGATAAAGTATAAGTACACCCAATGATGAACTTCATCCAAAAAGAAGACAAGGACATCAAAAGAAAAAAAAAGCAATAGAACTTTCTAGCTAAAGAATGTTTAAATCCTAGATTATGGATTCAAACCCATTTCTTTTTGTAATGGGTTTTTATCAATTCTAAAGCAATTATATTGAATGGCTAGATGTGACTTCAGAATAATATGAACTAAGTAAATAGGAAGAATATACTATTGTCTTTCCATCTCCCCCTTTCTAGAATCAATACTAAGTACCTAGCGATTCATGGTATATAATGTTGTGTAGATAGATGGATGGATGGATGGATGAATGAATGATGGGTGGATTGGATGGATGGATGGATGGATGGATGGATGGATGGATGGATGGGTGAACAGAAAAATGGGTGTTCTAGGTAGATGAATAGAGGTAGAAAGGCAGCTATAAAAATACATAGCACTGCTGAGATGACATGATTCCTTTCGTCCTTGCACAGGGGTGAGGCAAGTTCAGAGTAAAGAAAGAAAGAACAAAGGAGTTGTGCTTATGTAAGTGTTGCAGGTTTACAATTTCCTTCTCTAGCCTCAACTGAAATCATTCAAGGACCTATTGCCAAAAGTGCAATTGCCAAAGGTGGCATCTGCCACCTTTAAAATCAAATGCACTTTATAGCAAATGTTATGTAACCATTAGTCCCCTCAATACTTTCCTGAAGTAGGCAGAGTAGTAGCCATCATTTAAAATTCTACTATTTCAACTGCTTCTCTTAGGGAAAATTGATGATTATGTGTAAAACTTATGGTGTATGTAAAGATTCAGGATCCTAAAATAAAATTGCTGAAAAAAAATTTTTATTGAGCACCTACAATGTGCTAACCTCTGTACTAGGGATGAAGGAGAATTATAAAGATTGTAGAAGCAGTAAAACATAGTGGGTTAAGAGCAGAGAATGTGGAATCAGACTGCCTACCTTCAAATGCTGATTAGCTTACTAGTGGTATGACCTTGGGCAAATGATGTAACTTATTTGTGCTTTAGTTTCCTTATCTTTCAGTCGGAATCTACTTGATTGAATTTATCTAGTTGAATTTATCTAATTGAATCTACAGTTGTGAGGATTTGAGATTGTGTGTGTGTGTGTGTGTGTGTGTGTGTGTGTGTGTGTGTACAAATATATATGATAGTGAACAAGTTGGTGCCTGGTACGTAGTAAGCACTATTAAAGTTTTTGTTAATATTATTTGACTTCATTCTAAAAAATAGAGCCATCTGAAAAAGAAATAGATCTCCTCAAGTGGAAATAGGTCTCATATTCCCCAGACTTCAAGCTTAAGCTGCCAACACTCTTCAGTGACATGGTAGTTGGTTTCAAGCACATGGTGGGAAAAGAGAACTGAGTGACCTAAGACCCCTTCCAACCAAAGAACCCAGTTCTACAAATAATTACAACTTAAAAAGAATCCCGGCCATCCCATGTGAGAATCGCTTAACTTTTAATTTTAGGTCATAGAATGAACTTTCAGAAAACCACCATTTTTCTCAACCAGTTAAAATCAAATGCAATATGTGTTTTCATTTCATGGTGACTGAGGAAAATTTAATTGTAGCATGAACTCCAACACTTACTAGTTTTAAGTCAAATTGCCAAAATAAATAGAAATGTGGGATATTTTCAGGCTCACACTGCTTCCGGGACATTTCAGTTTCTAGGGTTGCCGATTCAG